GCCCGCGCGAGGCGGGACTGCTGGGCCGCCTTCCGGTTTATTAAGGGATGCCGCGTGCGCTCCGGAACGAGAAAATCCGGACGAGAATACCGTGCCGCGGGGCTCTTCTTCACGATGGGAGGTCGTTGACCGCGTCGTCGCGCCGGGGGGAACAATTATTGACGGCGCGGCGGCTCCATCGAGCTGTGAATTCGCAAAATCGCCCAAATTAGAAACCGGATCGCCGCCGATTTTTCTCAGTTCCGCCCCTCGCGCTCTCTCTCTCTCTCTCTCGCACCCCTCGACTCCGCGACCAGCGGTAATCGGGGATCCGGGCGAGATTTTTATCCCCACGCACGAAATCCCGATAGTCACGTTTTTACCTCGAAAGATTAAAATATCCGGAAAAAACGGCAATTTTAACGAAGCACGGTGTATAATTAGTTTCATTTCTCCAATAATTATGATAGAAAACTATTTATGGGAATATTTCTGGGTAAAAGGTGAACGAATTAAATTTCGTGCTTGCGCACGTATGTGTGTACGCGTATGCGCTGCGATGCGGATACATTTTGTAAGATGATAAATTTGTAAATCAAGTAATAAAATTGTACCCCTCGAATTCTTTTACATCTTATTTACTATGAGGCAGCAAATTTCCGCGATTCTCTCAATTACACCGGAAAGAATTATTTTGTTTCAGCGTACCTGTTATTTTTATGTTCGAAAACGAGACAAGGTGCAGAATTTAATTTAATACATCGCGAAACGAATCCATGGCTTCGGAGAATAATAACGCGTAAATTTCTTTTTAACAGACATTTCGCACGATATTTTCACTGCGAGTGTAATATCAAATTCAGCAAGGTTTGCTTGGCTAATTAAATTATTTCACGGTAAAATAGAAAATTAATCAAGTTCCGTATTGCTGGGATTATTGTACACTTTCACTATTAATATTATTTTAATTTCGGTTGTCCATGTCGAGGAAAATGACAAGATTAAATATACGCACAGTGTATGCACAGATTTTGACGGTTGCTCCGATTTCGTGCTTTTGTGAATCTATCAAGCTAGAGTCAAATACACGTATATCGCATTTATTATCTCGTATAAGAGTGTGTATTACGTAATAGAACAATCATGAGAAAGGTTTAAACCTTTCAGGTTTAATAACAAAAAAGTTTTATAATCTCTTTCGAATCCTTGCGATTGAGAGAGAAATGGTGTAGCTGAACAATATCAGCTTGTATCGGGAGTTTTGCACATAAACGTTACGTAACTGATTAAATTTTGAAGTAGTAGAAAATCTCACGTGAAATAGGTAAAATGCACGAGGAGTGCTCGGCGTATCGAAAAACGTATCAGGGAGAAAGCGGCCAATAACGGAAAATGAAATAATAAATAAAACTTCGCTCGAGATCGCCGTCCGAAAAAAAAGAAGATGTAAGCGCGATGGACATTTCCGAAATTATTCATCACAGGATCGATGGATCGTAGACAATAACACCGTTGTTATTTATTCTAATTAAGGTTGCTCATTTATTACGATTCAGTGTAACTACCAGTTACCCTAAATACTGAAATATAATTAACTCAATTGGCGATTAATTCCACTCGAGCACCTGACATCGAGCGTTTACAGCAAAATTTCTAACTGCATAATTTACCGCCTTTAATTCTACGTCACTCGAGTGTAAAATACAACCCAGCGTTAGAAATATATTAAATCCCCGAAGTAAAATGTTTTTATCGATCGAATGCTGCGCTAAATATTTCACAATTAAAGAACTTTTGCACTTATCTTTATTTAGAAGATATATAGAATATTATCGGCCTTTATTCAACTGTAAATCATCAAAGAGAACAGCGAAAATTGAGATATAACGCTGGGGTGTAAAATACATTCCGCGCGAGTAATACAATCTTCCATTTGCGTCAAATTATTAAAAAATATTAATAATTCCATCATATGAATAAAATACTGCAAATGTTTCTTGACAGCACAACCGATGATTGATTCAACCGGAAGAATTGCTTTCTGTAAAATCTCTAACTAAGTAATTTAATCCTGCAATAATAACACAAACAAACAACAAAAAATAATTATTTCAATAGTGATAATAACAAATTACAAAATACAAATAACAAAAATAATTATTTTTATACGTTAACAAAATGGTATTATTGGCCTGGTAATAATTAAGTTAGGCCCGGTTTTCCATTTTCTGGTTAACTGTTAACCCGAGGTTAGTCGACTCTCCATCTTTTTCTATAATATCTAAGGCCCGGTTTTTCATTCTCCGATTAACTGTTAATCACAAGTTAGTCTACTCTCAACTTTCTTTATATTGTTAAAATTTCTTTATATTGCTATTGTCTAAAAAGAGACAGAATTGATTAATCTATGGTTGACAGTTAACGAGAAAATGAAAAACGGGCCTAAGAAGAGACAGGTACACGGAGAGAATTTTCTCTTAAAATGTATCCTATATGAAAATCATATGATCGTGGGACAACGTGGCAGTTTGAAGAATTTTATGAGAGTTTTCTGAAATTTTACCGTACATTTTGCTAGTAAAATGTATACTAATTGTATAAGTAAAAGTATAATTACTAGTGAAATGTAGAGTTCTTTAAAATGCCATGTTGTCCCACGATTACATGACTCTCGGGGTAAATTTTAAAAGAAAATTATCCCCGTGTAGTTGACTAGATTAACCAGGAAATGAAAAACCTTAATAGTCAATTAAGATAACCGGAGTCTCTTTTATACGAAACCATCCCGAATCTATCGGTCGAAGGTATAGGATTGGGCATTTACGCGTAAAATAGAAAATAATCTACACCTACGTGTATGTACAAAAAACTATGTTTTTAACGTGTCGTGTAAACAGTGAGAAATTCATGGATCATCGGACATTCATATTTCGTCGGGAATATCGGCAATTTTTTTCATGTTTTGTTTGCAGTTTTATTTTCGGTTACTATTCACAACTTTTAGCACTCCGATAGATCTGTTCGACGTAAACAATAACATATTAAAATTTAACAGATCAGATCAGAATAAATAACATTCCTTTTTGTATATACATATATGTATGTATATCCCTATATTAATATTATATTTGCAATATAATATTCCTATATTTTATCATGCACATCGTTTTATCTTTTCTATCGCTGTGCAGCTAATAAATAAACAAATGAGAAAGAAACACCGAAACGTGTCTAATTTAATCTGGTTTGAAGCTATTTTTTATTTTTTTCAGACTGCACATGAAAGTACGTCAATAATCAGTCAGTTAATTAATAATAGAAATAATTTAATTTCGCAGTGAAAATGCAAAGGCAAAATATTGCATACTACACACGGTTCAACGGTGAGTATTCTAATTATGTGGACTTTTGCCTTATCAAGAATTTCCTGCAGAAATGATTTTTCAGGCTGTTCTATTCCTCTCCGCCCACATAAGCCATGCACAGTGGTTACCTATTGCTACCGTTTCTCAAACTGTGATGACTTTTTAGCGTACTCTATATCCCATGCAACAATTCGACGTCCTTTGGATGTCCGAAATATGTCTTGAAAAGTCCCGTTTATGTCGACGTCCCGTTTATGTCGACGGATGTCTAAAATACGTCTCAAGGACGTCGTTTGGATATCCAATAATAAAGTTATTTACGCAGACATTTTAGGGACGTCCAAAGTATATCGTCAATACGTCTGATTTTCTATTAAATACAATTTTTTAAATTGTAATTCTTTTAAAGAATAGTAGTGTGGATGAGATTATTTTATATATTTGTACTACAGATGTTTGGATAATAGTTCTGAAAAATGTCTTTTTATCGTTAAATGTATAACAGACCCCGGTAAAAAAAATTTCATGTATAATCAGTATATAAAAATGTATATAAAAATTTTTTATACAAACAAATTTTTATATAAAAAATTTTTATATACAAAATGTATATAAAAATTTTTAATACAAACATATATACAAATATGTATAAAATTGACGTCTACGTTAAATCAATTGTATATCCTGGAAGAATGTAACATTTATTGGATACATTTGCTGTGTTTAGCAGAAAAAGCTGTTTTACAATTATAAAATGTATGAATCTGATTGGTGTATGTTCTTAATTGCTGAATCTTAGAGCATCAGATTCAGGATTGTTACAACAATTGCAAGACAGCTTTTTCTGCTTAACGCAGCCATTGGACCCAAAGACGTCCTATAAGTTAGAATGACGCGTCAACATCTTTGGATGGTACAATGTACATACGTACTGACGATGTCTACTGGACGTCTTTGGGCGATAGACTGTATGTACGAACGATGTCTACTAGACGTCTTTGGGCGGTACATTGTACGTACAAAAGATGTCTACTGGACGTCTTCCTCACATCATACGGATGTCCATGCATGACGAACGGGACGTCCTTTAGACGTTTAAAAGATGTTGAATTGTTACGTGGGATATTTCCTCTTTTGTATTATAGTAAATTTGGAAAAGATTTGCGCAAATATGACACAAACAATACGTAAACAATTCATAGAGATGAAACTTACGGTGCAATCCTGATGGCCGAAGGCGACGGCGAGGAGTTTATCGTCGCACGATAAAGCCTCGGGGCCCGTCGCGATGTCCACGCTCCCCGCTGCGCGTCGCGCCCGCGCGAAAGTCACTGTCATGTCACCTGCCACATCCACCTCGTCGCGCGGCGCGCAGATGTAGCGCGATGCTCGCGTGAGGCACGCCCGGTGCTCGTTCGCGATGGAGAACCACGAGGAGGACGAGCTGGAGGAGCTCCGCTCCATGGTCTACACGTTCTCGCCGAACGTGCAGAGCGTGATCGAGCAGGTTAGGCCTCCTCCTTCCTCCCCCTGACGAAATTTACCTCGACGGTACCCTCGTACGATGTGTCATTCATGTTCGACGAGACACTTCTCTCCTTCCAACGCCTGTCTCTCCTCGAGCCGACCTTCGGACGTTGACGCGCGCACGACTCGGATATGATTTTGCGAGTAATCATATCCGCGAAGTACATTTTTTGTGTCTTTTTCCACGAAATTTAAGCCTAATACTGTTTCTTTCTCGCTGCCAGGTCTTGACTACGGATGACCCGTTAGACCAGCCCAATTTCAACGTGGTGGACTACATAAACACGTTATTTCCATCGGAACAGTCGCTGTCGAATATCGACGACGTAGTGAATAAAATAGAGAATAAGATACATACCATCGACAGAGACATACGGACGGTGGTGCGCAGTCAGACAAATGTGGACCAGGATGGTAGAGCGGCATTGGAAGATGCGCAGAAGGTGATAAGGCAGTTGTTCGTCCACATCAAAGACATCAAGAACAAGGCGGAGCAGTCCGAGGAGGTGGTCAAGGAAATCACGAGGGACATCAAGCAGCTGGACTTTGCCAAGAAGAATCTTACCGCCTCGATAACGGCGCTGAACCATTTGCACATGCTTGTGGACGGAGTGGATAACCTGAAGTATGCACACTGCGTTAAACATATTATTAGACATTGTTCAAAGTTATTCTATAAAGTAAGTCTATACCTTTTGATCGCTGCAGAGTATTAACGCAAAAGAAGCAGTACGGAGAGATTATCTTGCCGCTGGAAGCGGTGATGGAGGTGATGCAACATTTTAGCAGTTACATGGACATACCGCAAGTGAAGCAACTGTCCGATCAAGTAAGGGTGCAAGTTGTGCCTACGATAGGGTATAAAATTAGTATTGATCCTTTCAACGCGTTTCCTACCTTTGTCGACAGGTACGCCAGATCCAGGATGAGTTGGCCCAGCAGATTACAGCGGATTTCAAGCAGGCCTTCTCGGGCCAGAATCCAAAGCATTTCAATCAGCTGACGGAAGGATGTTCAGTATTATCAGTATTACACCCTAAAGTGAAGTATGCATTAGATATTCAGTAGTGTTATTTTACAAGCAACGATAAAATCCCGATAATGTCTCGAATGTTCTTCAAAGGAAAGATCTGCTCGTCTGGTTTGTAAATATCCAATTGCAAGAGTACGCACATTTGTTCGATGAGAATCAGGATTTCGCCTGGTTGGATAAGATAGATCGGAGGTACGCGTGGATCAAGAAACACCTGCTCGACTTCGAGTCCAAGTTCGGCACGATTTTCCCCCAAGATTGGGAAATTTCCGAGCGAATAGCTGTGCAATTCTGCCACGTTACACGTGAAGATCTCACAAAATTGATGAATAAGAGACGTAACGAGATAGACGTTAAGCTGTTGCTTTACGCGATTCAGAGAACCAGTAATTTTGAGACGCTGCTAGCGAAGCGTTTTATCGGCAGCACTTTGGAGACCACGGACGCTAAGAACGCGACAGTCAGTAGCGAAGTCGCGGAAAAAGCCCCGGGAAATCCTTTCGAAGAAGAAGATAGGAAGGTATCAAAAGCGTTTATTCTACGTCTAGTTACCGTTTATGTCACGCTCGTTAAATCGTTAAAAAAGTATATCGTTCTTTTGTGTGTAGGTTGAAAACGAAAAACCGAGGCCGTCTCCATTCGAAAAGCTAATAGGAAGATGCTTCGAGCCGTACTTGAGCATTTATATAGAAAGCTTGGATCGCAATTTGGCCGATCTGATGGAGAAATTCGTGACAGACGCTAAGACGCAACCGCCAGGTGCCAAGGAATTTGACGGCATTGAAGGCCCGAGCAGCGTCCTGAGCTCGTGTGCCGATCTGTTTGTATTTTACAAGAAGTGCATGCTGCAATGCACGCAACTCAGCACCGGTTTAATCATGCTGAGCCTTGCCGAGACTTTTCAAAAATACCTACGGGAATATGCAGTTAAGATCTTGCAAAATAATTTACCCAAGTAAGTGTAAGAATTAATACAAATTGGTTTCAGTTCTCTTATGTATGTACATATACATACAGATATTTTTTAAATTGAATTTAACGTAATCATTGTAGAATCGGTGGTAGTGCAGGAATTGGCACAAGTATGAGCAATATCACACGTGACTTCCGAGATCTATCCACGTCAGGCTTTATTCAGAATTTTCAAAGTTTTTTGAAGGAGGGAGAAACTGCCAGATTTAGTAAAGAGGAACAATCTCGTATATGCTGGTAAACACACTTGTTAATTCTCTTTTTTTTCTACAGAATAAAGAGAATAATTATTAAAACGTAATCTTTCAGTATTTTGACAACGGCGGAATATTGTTTAGAAACGACACAGCAATTAGAGGAGAAACTTCGTGAGAAAACTGATGAATGCTGTTCGGAAAAAATTAATTTATCTCAAGAACAGGATATCTTTCATAAGTATATATCTATTATTCTTTCTCTTAATTTTACATATTTATAGAAACTTGTTATTAATTTTCGCTATTTGTTTTTAGCGTGATTTTTAATTGTATTCAGTTGCTGGTTCAAGATCTGGACGCAGCATGTGAATCCGCATTTACTGCAATGACTAAGGTAAATTGTAAAAAGTAGTTGCAATTATCATTAACACAGTAAATACACATAATTCAGGTTATCATTTTGCAATATAAAATTAATATCATATTATGTTATTATAAAAAGAATATACAATATATTAATAATGTTAATATAATAAAAATATGGCAATTTTTTTTCTCAGGTGCAATGGAGTTCTGTGGAGGTCGTGGGCGATCAAAGTAATTATGTCAATACAATAATAGCGCATCTCCGACAAACAATACCGACCATACGAGATAGACTGTCTTCTTGTAGAAAATACTTCACACAGCTTTGTGTCAAGTTCGCTAGGTAAAACATTTGTCGTATACTTATAAATTCACAGGAAATACTTTTAAGATTCTCTATTATCGATGCCTTGTTTCAGCTCTTTCATAGCAAAATTAGTACAGCAATTATTTAAGTGTAAGCCATTAAATGCCGTCGGCGCAGAGCAACTGTTGTTGGACGTCCATATGTTGAAGACGGCATTGCTGGATCTTCCGTCGACAGGTTATCAAATACAGAGAAAGGCTCCAGTAACATATACCAAAGTAATTTAATACTTTAGAAAGTAGACAAGTATATTAAACAACATATATAAAATATATTTTATTTATCATATAGGTTGTGGTGAAAGGTATGGCAAATGCTGAAATGATATTGAAGATTGTAATGTCCCCAATTGAATCTCCCAGTGACTTCGTAAAGCAGTGCAATATACGCTTGCCCGACTTGCATGTCTCAGAATTCCACAAAATTTTAGATATGAAGGTAATTTTTGCAGTAGCTAAAATTACAATCTGTTATATTTTTACTTGGCTATTTAATATGATCAATATTATATTCTAGGGATTGAAAAAGACGGATCAACTTCTGTTGCTCGAGCAATTTAAACAGTCCGAAAACACGGACGCTGCGAACGCTACGAAAAGTCATATAGTACATAATAGCCCGGAACATGAAGCTGGAAGAATCAAGAGGCTAGAGAAACTCATCAAGAAACGAATTTGAGGATATTAGATATCATAAACATTGTCATTGTATATAGCTAAGTTAGGAATACATTCTTATTTTAAGATAACAAAGATCCTTTATATACAAAACAGAAGGAGAAATGTGAAATGTAGGGGTGCTTCATCAAATAAATACCGCTATCAGATGTATTTTATCCTTTATTTTTTTACGTAACCTGTAGATGATACGGGCAATGATGTTAACCTTGTTTCTGCGCAAGTTCCTTGGCCTTAGCCTTTTCTAATTTTGCTATCCTGGCCGCAGATTTGCTTCCCAATAAACCACCGCCCCAGTGACGCCTGATCTCGTCGTATCGATCATTGAAGTTCGTCTTAATGGCTTCAACAATCTTTGCGAAGTTGGCTCTATCGCCAGAATCCACCTGAGATAATACCAATATATTTTAATAAAATTGTAATAAGAGTGAAAGAATCCGCACTTTCGTAAATGCGTATCAGAAGTCTTTCGATATCACGATGTATCATTGGATTGGCTCTAGTACTCATCATAGAATACAATCAAAGAAAATAAAAATATCACAAAGTGAATGGCCAAAAGATATAAATATAAGAAAATATAAATTCAATAAAAATAGTTTATTAAACAAGGTGAACGCTTCGACCAAGATTTGTGCCACAACTTTTTCCAACACCGTTAAAATTATGAAAGTATAAGTTAATCAAGTAAATAAATTATAAAGCCACAAGGATTTAATATACTTTATACATACCTGAGTAAGAGCAACTGCCGAGCAGGTCTTACGTCTAACTAGACGTCCCAAACGCGCCTTGCCTTTAACAATACAGTACGGCACGCCCATCTTCCGGCACAAGGCAGGAAGGAATAACACGATCTGCAAAAAAAAAGAATTAATTAGTTTGGCACGTCTAAATTGCTTGCACACAAATATGTACATAGATATGCAACTCAGTGTCATGTGTCATCTCACGAATACAAACACAATATTATAAATTTGTATTCTCAGGTGAAGAAATTCAAGCATCATTGTTAGATAGTGTGGAGATCTTGCAAAGTAAAAATCTGCTATGAATCATAAATTGAGGAGTTTAGTGGAAGAACGACACAAGTGGGGTTTTTTCATATTTTTCATATACTATAAAAGCTTTATAGTCGTAATCAACAAATCAATATCTGCAAAATGTGCACTTGGGAGTCTAGTAGTTTAGCCAACACAAATTTCTAATTTCAAAACTGTAAATAAAAGGTTTACTAAAACTTAAATCAATTTAAATCGTTCTTCCACCAAACTACTCGGTTAATACATTTAACCAACCTCGAGAGGATCAACATCGTGGGCTATGACGACCAACTGAGCTTTCTTCTGCTCCACCAGCGTGGTCACTGTGTTAGTCCCGCTGCGAATCACGTTTGGTTTCTTCGTCGGCGTGTCCTCCTTCTTCGCGATCTTCTGCTCGGCTCTTACCTTCAACCTCGCCTTCTTCATGGCCGCTGATTCGGGACGATACTTCTCCAACACCTTGAACAACTGTGTAGCTACAAGAACAAACAACATTATTGTATTACGTTTTACCCATATATTCTATATACTACTAGACTGCTATCTTCCGAGTACCGCCATGTATGCCAGTGACACCGATGCACACATACTACTTTATTCACCTAACAAGACATGACAGAACTCTTGCCTCACTTTTCAGCTCGAAGGTAGCAGTCTAACCGAGCTCAAAAAGACCCCCAGAAAGACCACCAAAATAATAAATGGACATCCGAGCGGACTTCGCAAGAGGCAAAGTAATCGGAAAAACAGACTGAAGCCTACTTCAAGTGGAAGAAGGCATCAGTGTAGTAGTACATAAAAGTCTGTGGTTTTGCCTCACGTACACGTGCAGAATTTAATAATTCTTCAATAGATGCGTGGAGTGTACAGCTTACCGGTCTGCTTATCCAACGTTTGCGTGAACTGGTGTATCGTCGGTGGCACCTTCAGCCTCTTCTGCAGCACAGACCTCTGGCGCTGAATGCGAATGTACTTCGGCCATCTTACAAAGCGGCTGAGGTCACGAGCTGGCTGGATGTCCTGACCTGCGAATTTCAACAGTTTTCGCCGTAACATGGTTGTTCCGAACTGATAATAAATTGTAACGACTAGAAATCAATAAAATTACTTGGACTCACCGATGCCAAAGTTGCGCGTTCGTTTCTCGAAGAGAGGATTCGTTACTTTCTTCGGTTCAACTTTCTTAACTGCCAACGGCGCGGCAGCTACCTTCTTCCCAACCTTCTTCTTAGGCTGCAATTGCATAGGGAAATTAACAAGAGAATCCACAATCAACAACTTTCACGAAACAGATAAGCCAAATTTAAATGATTGCTCCTTTTACACGATAAACGTCTCTTAAGAATTCAACGATTTATTCCATAAAAATCAAGCGCTTTTCCGAACGCTACTCGTTACAAAGTCAAGATCGACCAAGTTACTCTGCTTCTTTTCTTAAGTTTAACGTGCCGTAAACCGAGATTAATCTCGTCTGGAGAAGTTACTTTGCATTGCGAATTTAGGTTATGAAACATTGAATTGATGCCACACGTCCGAATCAATCTGTCTAATCGCTGCAACACGCAGCACTGGGCTTTCGAAGGGTTGTGATCGTCACGTTGCACAGTTATTGAATCAATCGACCGCGGGAGAAAAACATATTTCCGAGCACACGCCGTGGGAACATGCCAGAGATTCGGTGCGCGGATACTCGTCGCCGGCGACGTCGCCGACGCCGCTCGACAAAAATATTGCTCGCGCGCGACAGCTCGGCGGCCTTACCTTCTTCTGAACCATCTTTCTGGCGAAAAATCCGAACGATCGCGGTCAATTCTGCCGGATACAAAACGCAGTACCTCGCCGAACACGACGCGAAGCCGTCGACGTCGCAAAGGAGGTCCCGCGCCGCGCCGCTGCGCCACCGAAGCGACAGCGGCGGCCATGTTGGCAGCCACGTGACTTCGCCGCGCATGGCGGCGTTTTTAAACCGCCGCCGCGTACTTGCTGGTGCTACGAAGATATTATTTTCGATAACTGTAATTGATTTTAATAATAATTAATATTAACTTAATAATTAACACTAATTAAAAACTCCCCGCGGGTGTGTGTGTGTGTGTATGTACGTGTTTAGCGAGATACAAAAACGCGTAGTGAGACTAATTTTATTGATTTTTGAGGCGCTGGAGCTATACTGATGAATTATCAAATTTACGTTTGTCTAGAACACTTACGCATGGATAAATTTTCTAAATCTTATATATTTATTTCACTCGTACCGCATTGAGACGGTGTTGTTAACCTCTCTTGTAGGTTAGAGGCGAGTTACAGTTAAGTGCCAAGAGGTTCCTAACCGCAATCGCTTGATCTCCGAAAATAAACCGGAGCAGCTCTCGAGTCGGACTCGTCGTCGTCGTCGATAATATATCTAGAAGAGTATCAACAATTTAATCATGACGGCGTAATATTCTAGGTATGTTATAAAACTATTAGGGGGAAAAACAGGTACAATTGCGTCTAAAGAATAGATAAGGAGCAAACGTTAATACACAATTCATTAATTCAAGACGAAAAGAGTGAATCGAGATCCTAGTGCGATCAAGAAATGACGCCGAAGATTCCGTTCCGTGGGGCAAGCCGGCTGTTGCGCGGCAAGCTGAACCTGCTGAGGCCCAGGTGCAATCTCGACGGCGCCGCGTTCATGTCCTCGCTGCCGCCCGACAGCCCGATGAACGTGTTCGACAGAAACGCGAAGCTGCTGCAGCGCGAGCGCGCCGCCAGGGACGCCGACGTCCAGTTGTACGACTACATCAAGGACGAGGTGGGCGACAGGCTGGCCGATCGGATATTCGATATCAAGCGCAAGTTCGGCAGGGCCCTGGACCTGGGGTGCGGCCGCGGCCACGTGTCCAAGCGGATTCTTAGCGAGTCGGTGGAGGAGCTGGTGCTGGCCGACATGAGTCCAGGTCTCCTGCGGCAGGCTGAGACCACGGAGGGCGTGAAGGTCAGCAGGGAGGTCGTCGACGAGGAGAGTCCGGCCTTCGAGCCCGACAGCTTCGACATGGTGATCAGTTGCCTGAGTCTTCACTGGGTCAACGATCTGCCCGGGTGCTTGAGACGCGTCAACGGCAGCCTGAAGAAGGACGGGGTCTTCCTGGCGGCTGTATTCGGTGGCGATACGCTTTACGAGCTGAGGTAAAGGCGACACTGCCAGGCTTAAGATCGTGGGTCTTCCGGAATTTCGTGTCTCTACTTGCATTTATTACTTCTGGCGTTCGTTCTGGTAATACAGAAGTTCCTTGCAATTAGCTGAATTCGAGAGGCACGGTGGGATCTCGCCGCACATCTCGCCGTTCGTGGAGATCAGGGACATCGGATCTCTGCTAACGAGAGCGAACTTTACCATGCTGACTATCGACACCGACGAGATAGTCATCGGTTACCCAAGCATGTTCGAGCTTATGTGGGATCTGAAAGGTATAATGCTACAAAGGGTGCGTTCGCGGAGTCGCTATTAACGCTGAAAGAATCAGTCTATCTTCGTTGCTCACCATATGTTGAAGAGAGAAGACGTGTTTTGTGCCAATAGTGTGCTCCGTGAACGCACCTAAAGTTTATTCTTGGCTGAATAAAAATTATACAATAGGTGGATGTGTGTTACAATTTCTACTTGTCTAGGAATGGCCGAGAGTAATGCAGCCAGGAATCGTAATTTGCATCTACCGAGGGACACGTTGGTCGCAGCCGCGGCTATATACAAGCAACTTTACGGGAAGACGAAGGAGGACGGCACCGCCTACGTCCCCGCCACGTTTCAAATAATATACATGTTGGGATGGAAGCCGGACGCGTCTCAGCCGAAGCCTCTAGAGAGGGGAACCGGACAGGTGTCGCTCAAGGATCTGTACAGGCTCGATCAGATAATCAAGAACAGCAAGAAGATAAAGCTGGACGAGGACAAGTAGCCTGTATTAAATAGCCTTTATTCGAACAATGTAAATACTCTGTTCCGCGTGTAAAAACTTAACATACTGTATAAACTCGTCCCTCCGAACGGTAGGAGTAATAACTAATCTTATTCGAAAATCGCATTTTGTTATTCTCGCTGTCCCGGTGCGTCGCCGCCTTACGATTTCTTCTCGTTGTCCTTGTGAACCACAACGCCCTTTTCTATAAGCTCTGGAATCTCCACTGCTAGCCATGGTCCCAACTGAGAGGAAGAAAAAACAATTTTGCGCTACAATCTTGTGAGAATAGCATTTTAATACAGAGGTTTGTGTCGGCAGGTCTTTCAATTGCTCTTGTTCTATTAGCGAATTGCTTGCACTAGTGCGCACTGATTGCACACTACCTGTTTATAATCAATTTTTATATTTAACTTTGTCTTAAATACATGATCAAAGAATTTTTTAAGCCAAATTTAGCCAAAAATGATCAGTATGGATGCTAGACAGATCATTTTATCAACTACGAAACATTTCAAGTGATATTTAAGATAATTTTTCAATATAAGAATTGACTGTATACAAGCCTTAGTGTGCGCTCAGTGCGCACTAATGCAAGCAATCGAATTCGCCATCAGTTTAATTATCAAATACATGCAATAATCAGGCGTTCAGCTTACACCGAGAGCCATCGCGTGAGCGATGCCGAACTTGGGAACGTTGCGAGCCCACAGTGGCTTGAAGTGATCAGTCAGGCAGATCTTGCCACCCCTGTACATCTTCGCCGTCTTGCCGTCCAATTCTGGTAGAGCGATCTCGGGCGCCGTTGTGGGATACGTAATGGGAATCTAGCCTCGTCCGAGAAGAAAAAGAAGCATTGTTTGCAAAGCGAAAGATTTAAGGGACAACAAACGTATTAAGACGCAAACAATTAAATTATTACATTAATCGAACTAAACTTTTTAACTTATTTTTGCTCGTGTTTATTGTCCCTTGACCCCTTCACTTTGCATTACAAATTACAAGCTCGACTTGTTGTTATCGCTTTTTGACTCTTGATTCATTTTCATAGTTTTAACTAATGAATATAAATGACATGTTACTCGAATAAGATTCTGTATGCGACGAGGTATTCCTTTTCTCATTTGAGTGAAAAGTGAAGCGACAAAAACGGCGAGCAGTGTCACTCACGTCGAATTCTATCTCGAATTCGTACTTCAGGAAATTCTGCATGTACCAGCATTTGCCAAACCACTTGGTGCCCTCCTTGTTCGACTCCAGTCGGAACCAGTCATTGTCCGCCTCCTTATTGTTTTTGACATACTACAACAAATAGAATCATACAACACGACTGACCTACAATGTACTCTTTGCGATTACAAGCATTCTGCTTTGTACAAGTATATCAATACTTGCACTTAAAAACATATGTCGATAATGTACAATTTATCAACTTGCAAAATATTTTTTAATGTAGAGGAAAGTTTCCTATTATGAGACAGACATTCTATTATGAGATAGCAGATCACAATCTTTTTTTGCGGCGATTACACAATCTAACAATGACTTCCACTAAACAGATCTCACTCCAAAGGCAATAAATTCATGGTGGAACCAACAAACGATGCCTATTGATTTAGTAGAAACCCCGCTGTTTCATATTAAGCCCGCTGCAGACGATGCTATTTTTCCTGCTGGATTGCTTGCAATTTAGTAAATTACTAGGAATCCTGAATGCTGAGTGGTGCAATAATAGTAATTTACTAAATTGCAAGCAATCCAGCAGGAAAAATAGCATCGTCTGCAGCGGGCTTTAGAAACCTGTTTCATAATAGGGGACTTTCCTCTATTGTTAGCTACAAGATCAGAAGTTCGATCATGAATCTTTTATTCCAGCGTGAACTCGTGAAAAGCGAAAAATTTCATTGAAGAATTCAATATTTGTCAATGTAATTTCTTACTTTTCACGAGTTTACACTAGAGGAAAAGATTCATGATCGAGGCCCAGGCTTAAATCTACGTATCAATTACACTCATATCGAATCTATCACATGGAATATTTCTGTATTAAATGTCACATTATTCGGCAATGTTCGTCGTCGCATAAATAAGTGTTCAACGTTTCTAAACAAAGCAACAGAAAACTGTCCATATGGAAGTGACGTTTGCAAGCTCGTAGGAGAAATCGTATTACGTCAGTTTCCCTCACCTTGATGAGAGCCTGGTACTCCTCCTTTAACCTCTGCACCCACAATTCTTTGTCCCTGGGGCCGGCTTTCGTTTGTAACAACGGAATGTTGCTCAGAGTCTTCTTCGTCGACTCATCAACCATCTCGGCGAGAGCTGATGACACTCGCGGAGGGTCTTCTCTTTTTCTTTTGTTGGTTATGTCACGCCACTGGAACAGAAGCGCGCATGCTCGTGATTCGCATACAAGTGATCGGAAAGGAACTTTTTTTTAAAATCACTGCTATATGCAATCGCTTGTATTTCACATGAAGACGTTTGAAGTGCAATTGAAAAGATTTGTGAGTCATTTTTGTATTAGTAATTAATTATTTTTCCACCTGATACTGGATGTGTTCGAAAATGGATTTAGTTACTGCCAGTGAAAACGGTATAGTTGGTAGCAATGAAAATTACTGGTGCTGCGTTTTTCGCACGCCAGTAAAGTCAGTAAGGCTGGGAAA